CTTAAGAACTAGATTACACACTGGAGTAAAGTGGTTTCCACAGGTTTAACTCCATTAAGACTGGACCACAGCATGGTGCCACTGCAGGACAATCTCCTCCCTCTTAGTGCACTAATAGGTGGCTAATCCCATCCTCAAAGCGTCAACACCCATCCTGACCAGCACTAGTCGCTAATGGTGCTTACACACGGGCGAGGAGGCGCATCCTGTAGAATACGCCATGCTGCTAGATTAGCCTGGGTGGTGATGACATGGTGAGTCAAAGCACATATGACTACATGGCAAGAAACAAACCTGAGGGCATTTACCTTTAAAGAAATAAAGAAATAGTTCTACCATACATGCTAATGTTGCTTACAGTGAAAACAAACTAGTTGCAATCAGAATTGTGCCATTTTCACAATGCTTACTGGTTGCTATTTGCTTCCATTCATTGTTGGAAACCTAGTAGTCAGACATAATTACAGAAAAGTCGTATTCTAATCTAATGTCTAATGTCGTTAACAATGAATGAAGCCAATAGTCACCAAACAGCATGATGTTATTTTCATAATGCTAACTGGTGACTCTTCACTTTCATTCACTGCTAGCAACATTGGCATAATGATTGAACTCTTCTTTTAAATCATGCCATTTCACCAAAATGATTGCATAGTGAGCCTGAGGGATGCTACTTTTTGTACATGTGGGGAAAAAAATTATGGTAATAGCTCAACCATATGTGCTAACAAATGATCAAAGCTAGTAGCCACCAATCTGCATTTTTTTCCATTGTGCTAACTTTCACTCACTGTTAACATTAGCATTATTGATCAAAACATTAAATTACGCTAGTTGCTAACAAACGTTCTTGTCATAAATACATTGCTACTCACAACGGTATCACAGATTTGTGCAAGCTACCTACCTATAAAAATTATATGCAAAACCAACTAATGTGTTCAGCTACTAAAATGAACATTCTGGCAGAAAAATCCTCATTTTAGTCAACAATTAAGACATCACATCCCTAAAATGAGACGTTTTGTTCATTCTGATTCAACCTGACCACAAATCTGAAATTTACATATCTGCCTACGTCAATGTAGCCCCAATGAAATTTCTCACTTTTAAGTTGTGCAGTGTGTAAACCCGAATAATGTGTCCAAGCATACAATTCACTCCCGTCCATACCACCCAAATGTGAAAACTAAGCCTCAAACACCACCTGTTTTGCATCCACTTGTTTTTGTGACGTCACAAAAACACTGCATTTATATGATCATCCATTCAGCAGTTTAGCCCCGCCCAATCGTTGAAGTTATAAAGAGTATTTCAGCCCAGACTGCTTTTCAAACAAGGCACAATACAGGACAACCAATCAGAACAGAGCTGATTTACATATATCAGCATAAAAGGCGCAATAACGAAACCAGACTGTTTAATTCTAAAAGATGAACAGAGGCTGGAATTTAAGACTGTTTTTGGTACATAAACCCACATAATCATAAAACAATCCAGGGGAAACACAAAGGATTTGGGCTCCTTAAAATGTTACTTTTTTCAATAAAGAGTTTAACTGCAGTTTCAACAGTTCATTCAAACGAGTGGGACCTTCAGCAACACTGACTGCTAAACAGATAAAACCGTGCCGTAGCCTTCCTGACCCTAAGGCCAGGGAATCACATGCTGCAACTTATACACACACACATGCACTGACAGCAGACATAAGAGAGAAAGAGAAGGGGCCTCTCCACTGATGGTTACGTCCTGGGAGCTGCATCACAAATTCTTTCCTGACTCGGCCTGAACGCCGGTCCAAAAAAAGGCAAGTGTTCTGAAGCATGGAGGCTGCCCTGCACTCACTGAGCTCTTTCTGCTGAGGTGCAAAAGCACCACATTGTCAGCACAATCACTGCTACAAATGCCCTTTTCACAAAACATAGAGCCATTCTTACTCCAGCGCATGACATAGCGGTAGTAGATATATTATTTATAAATAAATGAGAATTCTTTCATTAGTATTATCACTGTACTGTAAAAGGGTCAAAGACCATCCTCCATTTATGTAACTGACATTCAAATTTCTCAGGAGATATTTCTGAGGAGATCAGATGAGATTATCTACACGCAAAAGAAAAATAAGTGGAAAACAGGATTTTGGGAGTTTGGGATTACTTGGCTCATGAGATCAGAAAATACAACCAACGTCTAACCCTGAATTTGGAGGTGTGGGAAAATATGCCTGCAGATTTCTTTGAAAAACTGAACGCAAGTCTGCCGAGAAGAAGCTGTAATGATGCTAAATATTGGAAAATCTGATATTATGTTTAGTTGTTGAGGCTTCTGTGAAATATCCTGCTATAAATGTTTCCTGCTATGCATTTTTCCTGATGCGGAATATCTATTCAATAGATATTTGAATAGACATTAAATGAATGTGACTTTACTGAACAATGGCTACAACCATTTCATCGTTTTCTAAGATTAATTCACTGAAATGGGCAGCACAGCAGTAAGACTGTATGCTTATTAATATTCACTTGGGATTCAAGACAATTCATGAATCCATGAATCGAACATGCTTTAGACTTTGTGCAATAACAAAGACAGAGAAACTGACAAACATCCACTGTTCTAACAAACAATACTGAATGACATTCTTAAAAGAAGCTATGAAACTAAGAAAAAATTCCACTATAAGATATTCATTTGACTAGTTATGCTCTACTTTTACTATACAACAAAAAAGCAAAATGAATGCTGGCCTTTCTTTTTGTACTTCTGCATCAAATAAGTGCAGTAAGGTGGTGCAAAAACCACTATATGTATCTTACTCTGCAACACTGAAAAAGAGCGCCTGCTAAACATGTAAACCTTTGTAATAACCGTCATGTCTGATTTATCTACGTGAAATGAATCAATGATCCATCTTTAGAGTTTCAACCTGTCTTACACACTACACTTCATATATGAAACACATCGTGACCATCTAAATTACAATAAAGTAATATTTATAGTAAAAATCTCATCAGTCCTGAAATTCCATATCGGTGCAGCCCTAAAAGTCTTCAGCAGGTCTGTAGATTTATGATTCATTTGCACACAGCAGTAGTACTGGTTCTGGCACTGCTTCAGTATTACAGCTCAGTGCACACAACCTGGACCTTATACCACGGATTACGTTTCTTTAACAGTAATATTAAAATATGTCATGCAATACTGCCTAAGGCAAAATAAATAAAACTGTCAATCACTGATTAAAAACTCTGTTATACAGACAATATGGACAGATTCTTGTTGTCTTTCCTCTTAGTGCTGATTTTTCTGTGTTAATCTGCTTATTTGCAAGCAAAATATAAAGCTTCTCATAAATTCTGTACACAAAGATCAATAAAACTTCTTCTGAACTATGCAGCATTAGTCTGGCACTGGGCACAAAAAACACACTTCACGTCCCTGTAAAGGACAACTAAAACCAACGGTCTTGATATAATAAACTTATGTATTCACTTCGATTATTTTATCAACTGCTTAAATATATAAACAGACAAAATGTTTGTGCGTTATCAATCCAAAAATAATCATGTTTTGAGACTGCTCACAAAAAAAGAACCAAACTCAAAAGAGCAACAGTCAGTGAACAAGAATGTCGCAAAACATTAAAGCAACCAGAAATGACATCTCTAAAGCTGACGAGCAAACACGGCTGTCAGCGTCCAAATCTTGCACCCACTACTTCCTTAGAGAAATGTAATGAGTCTAGTGAGGAATACAATCATTGCAGACAATCTCAGACCACCATCAAACACTTTCCAGTACAGCTTCTGATGCTATTTCAAGCTTGACACGTCTCTTCCATACAGCTGTAAAGCTGTCCAGCCATTTTTGACCAGACTGCGACACAGGTGCTGAAAACACAGTGCACTATTACTCGTTTCCTATAAGCAAAGGGGCTCCATTCATAGTCAACTGAGAACAGAATCTGAATCTTTATACTGCATTCATGCGAGGTTTAGGTCCAAGAGTTTCCCCAAACCTCAAGTCAACAACCACCTACATTTCTTGCAAGATCTCTTATATTCCCAACGGGTCCAGTATAACCTGAGCAGATGCAACTTTCGAGGAGGAAACACCCTTCATTTCCACACACATTATTTACATTCCCTTATCCACAGTGTTTTAACCAGGATCAGTTTAAAAATACGAGCATTTGACATTTTCACACCATAACGACTCCTGTGTGCAGCTCTTGGAGGGATTTGTAACTTAGCCACAGCTAGCAACCCTGCTAAGCTAGAGCTAGCGAGCTAATAGAACAAAAACTGACAAATAACCCACATTCAGAAAGCATTTTTAGGATTAAGAGTGAATTAGTGAGTTATAAACTTAATTCATTCATTAGAGGAGCGCGAATGAATTAAGTGTGCGTTTTTGAGGTCATTTTGCGGCTCTGTTATGCCTAGCAGGGTGTGCTAACGCGCTAACGTTAACGTCATGAAGCGAATGTTTCAAGCTTGAAGTTGTAACGTTAAGGCCAGAACAAGTGACCAAAAACCAGAACAAAACACACAGACAGGAACGTCCTGCTGGCGTGTTGGGCCTGTTTCTGATTTTCAGGGGACTAACGTTATAAAATGATCTCCTCTTGGGTTAATTTGATTCATCCGTTCTTTTTTTCCTGGACATTCTTCCCAATTCAACTGCAAACGTTATAATGTTAGTTAACTTGGCAAACCAATGTTAGGTGTATTAACCTCTTTCTGTTACTTCGCTCAGGACTTAACTAAGAATAAGAATATTGGGTTTTATAATAAAATATCCGCATTAGAGTGCGTTTTAGCAAACTGAGAAGCGTTAAGGGTCCTAAGGGTGTGCTACAGTCAACCAAATCAAGCTAATGCTGAAGCTGGTGCGAAAACGTTAAGCTGCAGTTAAGGTTAAGGAGTAAAAATGCCGGGTTTTCTGATCAGACAGCCGCACGGAGGGCTGTTTCAGCAGACTGAGAAGGGTTAAAGGACCTGGTGCAGGGCGGTGAGGCCGTCCACATTGGCGTAGTTGATGTCCGCGCCTCGGTCGAGGAGCCGCAGCACCTCCTCGGTGTCTCCGCTGGAGCAGGCGGCCAGGAACACGGCGCCGTCGTCGAACTTCACCTTCGTCTTCTTCTTCCTCAGCACCGGCGGCTCCAGGTCGGTCTCTGATCCCAGCCAGCGCTTTAGCTGCTCGTTCCGTTTCTGCTTAGCGTCGGCCATCTTCATCACAACACAGACCCCCCCCCTGGACCCGGTGCGCGCTGTGTTTTTCACTCCTGAGCTCGCTTTAACAGTGTGTATGTGTGTGTGTGTGTATGTGAGCGAGTCAGTCTCCCTCTCTCTCTCTCTCTCCCTCTCTCTACTCCGCCACGATCCCACAGCGCAACGGGGCGTGGGAGAAGCAGGAGGAGGAGGAGGAGGGTAAAAAAAATCACACAGGGATTGGTGTGGCTTTTTTCTAATAACGCGATCTCGCGAGATTGCCTGTGGTTACGTCGTTGCCCTTGCCCGCGTTCCCTCCTCCTGCACGGCCTCGCTGCGGCATGACGTCATCGCCAGCGAAAACGAATGCTGTAAAAAGTCTGTATTTTGTTGATTTCGGGGGATGTAGCACTGTGTGAACTAAGATTTAAAAAAGAAAAAGTTTTCAGATGGCAGTGACGTCACGCTTCCCCCAACCCTCCTTCTCCTCCTACGTAGAGCTGCACCATGACATCATTGTCAGTGAAAATGAACGCTGTATGGAAAAAGTCCTTTCATTTATGTTGAGACGTATGGTGGACCTAAATAAAATAAAATAAATAAAACAGAATGAAATTTTGTGAAATTATCGCAAGCTCATGGTGATGTCACGCGTTGCCCCCTTTTTTCTTCAACAGAAGCTTCAGCATGATGTCATCAAACACACTAGCCATTTAGAGAGAGGTAAAACTGAAGGCTGTAAGAAAAGTCTGTTGAGGGAAGTGGGGATGACTTAAGTCGTCAACTTTTTAAAATAAACAAACATTTCAAAAAATTCTAAAGATCTTGCAAGGTTTGTAGGGCTGTAAAAAGAGTATGTCATTCATTTATTTTTGGAGGATGTCAGTTTGGTTTATGTTCTCTTAGATTTTCTTTTAAAATATAAAAAAAAACTTTTGTGAGAACAAATGAGTGCTTAATAAAATGCAGAGTAAATGCTTAAGCATGCTTAAACATTTCCCAGGTGGTTGCTAGGGTGTTGCCACAAGGTTTTTATAGTATTTTAGGTGGTTGCGATGGTGATCAGCTGAAGTTTGTCATTCACACATTTTTGAGGCTGTATTGAGTTAAAGCATTTCATAAATTTCAAAACTGAATTACTTTCAAACTAAAGGGACTAATAAAAGTTGTTAGTTCACATGCTCTGGACCTGCAGCACGATGTCATTATTAGCACTGTGGGATAAAAATGAATACTGTAAAAAGAATCTCTCATTCGTTTAGTTTGCTATGGATGTGGATGACCATAAAACATGCTTTTAATATAAAAATTTACCTTTTAAATTTAACTCTAATTTATCATAATCAACATATAAGACCTCAGAGGACACATGTAGGTTCACTGGTGGTTGTGAATAGCAAATAAAATGGCTATGTTTGCGTTGCAGACATTGTGACCCCTTCACTGTAAAGAAATATGAGTCAGCAAGTTTCTCTACAATGAACCATTTCACATCAAACCACTCTGTGAATGGCTTAATTAACATCTTCAGAACTACATTATGCAGAAATTTTGATAAATTGGTGAAATTCCCCTTAAAACCCTTGCTTCACTTGAGAACTTTATCTTAGTGAAATTTTGACAAGTCTGTTTATTTTAGCTCGAAGTTGGTCCATGCTGTTAGGAAAATGCCAAATGATATTTATTTGCACAAGTGAGTCACTTTGGGTCAGGACAAAGATTCTGCTGTTTTATTCTAACATTTTCACATCATTTTCTCTTATTACAACAGATGAATTGCAAATTAGCACATGACAAAATGCACTGGCACATTTGTCATGTTCCACTTTGTACCTCTGCACCTGTAATAGTCACATCCCACCTGTCTAGCTCATATTAAATGCCATGTACATTTAGGTAACATACACTGTAAAAAATGACTCGTCAGATCTACCTAAAATGACTTCATGTGGTAACAAGTAAACTAACTAGTTTTATTCAACCTAAATAAATACTTTGAATAAACGTTTTTTTCAATAAAAGTAGTTTTTTTGAGTTGAATAAAACTAGGTAATTCACTTGTTACCATATGAAGTCATTTTTTTAAGTAGATCTGATGGGCCACTTTTTACAGTATACTATGGATGTGTATATTTTATAATACCCTTTGTTTTTATTTGCTTACTATTTCTATTTTGTATCATCTGTTATATATGCATCAATTCGAAGTGTACTTGACCAGTAAAGTGATATTTGTGATATTTTTTTCCCTGGTAGGGTCTTTTTATTATTATTATTATTGTTATTATTATTATTATTATTATTATTTTGGCTTTTGCGTCTATTGCACTCATCCACAGCTGGGTGGTCTGGCTCCACTGTGCTGGTAAAGTGCGTATTTTGGCACTGCAGTGTGTTGTTATTGGCTGCAACCCATCAGAGTGAGTACAGTACACTGAAATGGCTTGATTCAAATGTGCACATCATTTTCACATGAATACAATATTTTGCATAAGCACAACTTTGTCTTTCAGTTTATGCATATTTTGGCAATAAATGTTTTGATGTAAAACATTTCATTCACTAAATTTAGCTCATCACTTTGTTCAGCAGCTTAGACCAGACATCTGAAGAGTTTAATGTTTCTAAAAGCTCCCTGAAAAAAAAATTGCTTATGCATGCTCAACACAATGTCTGAGACATTGTTTTACAATAGCTTTGAGATCAGATTTTTTCAAAGCAAAACAGTCCCCAAAGAAAACATTTCAGATTTACCACTATTATACCATCATCAACAATAAGTATAGATCATTCAACTGAATTAGTTAGAACTGATACAGACAGTAAGAAACTAAATATATACAAAATTATTATTGATAGGGTACTTTCTATGGTAGGTGTCTGTCCAACCCCTAACCACTAAGTACTTAAATTTGAAGTTAAAGATATATTTATTATAAATTCATTTTTATAAAAAATAAAATACTAAAAATAAAAAACTTTATTTAAAATGCTGTTCCATGTTTTCATGTCACTATGGAAACACATATTTAAAAGTACACTTTTTTGTGTTTTAATGAAAATGTTATGATTTTATGTGTGTATAACTGTTTAAAACTGTGTTTGTTGGTCATGCACTGGCTAGTGTTTTTTAAGTTCTGCTCAAAATTAGCTAAAATTGTCAATACTGAAACAGTGAGTCACTACTGGTAGTGTTATGCTTGTTTTGTTAGTGACAAAATGGAATGTTCAGTCATTTATTTTAATAAAATGAACATAATTAAGGAATAGAGTCACTCAAAGCAAAAGGATTCCAAATGAGTTAAAAATCTAAACCGTGTTTTCAACTCAATTCGGTAGAATCATCCATATACACACTCAGAAGATTTGTGTAGGTTCACTTTCGGATAGTCAACGTGTGTAGACGTGTGTAGACATCATGACCCCTGGTTCCTATCACCACCACTGTGAAGAAATCCAAGTCAGTAAATGGCTGTACGTTAAACCATTTCACAGCAAACCACTCTGAATGACTCTGTATACATCTCTAATTATTAAATTATTAAATTATGCAGAATCAGTGGAATTAGCTTGTGTTTTATTTGTTCTTAACAGTTCCATTAAAACCGTCATCCCAAATAAAGATTTTTTTTTATTACTACTGCTAAGAAAAAAGTCTGTAGGTATTTGTCAGTTCTGGTCAGTTTCTCTGGTAGGTAGCCTAGGATATATCATTGTAAATGTGTATTGTAGCAATCTGTACATTTAGAATACTCAAAAATGATCCTCTTTAATATGGGTTTGTATTTTGGGGCACTGCCACCATATACAGCATGTGAGTGATCTTCAGTCCCAGCCATTATAGAAAGTATTCAAATGACGTCACAATTGTCACCACCGCCATATTGTTGACACACCACTGGTCAACATGGTGATGACAGTGGTGCAGTAACCATTTGTGCACCTTAAGTTAATAAAGTATCTTGACAGATAAAATATAGCGATGATGTGCTGTGTTGTTCATGCTAGTAACATCAGCATGTTCATGTAGCAACAACAGCAACAAAAAACAAACAATAGTGTAAGCTTTTCTACTATTTCGGCTGTCCGGCTGTCCGGCTCTCTGACATTGTGAGGGGAAAGAAATCTTTATATAGTGAGAACAAACAGGAAAAGCTTTCAGCCATCTCCCTACAGCAAATTCTGCTCACACCTGTCTTTCATAGCTAGACAGACAGATGAATGATTCTGTATTTTTATTCTGTAGTTTTGTTCCTGATCATTTTTGAGTGTTGATAATTGTTTACCACTGACACATGATTGACTTATGCAATCTAACTATTCATGTCTGGATCTCTTCTGCTTTAGCTAGACAATGAAGGCAGCTGAGAGTTGACAGTAAGTGTGTAATTGCTAGGCTAATTTAAGTGGGCGAGGATCCAGGCCAGTGTCAGTGTGGATCTGCAAGTCTGTGTAATGATTCATGATGAAACTCACACACAGAAAGCTCAGGTCACTGATGAACAAAGCCTGACAGGAAAATGAGTCAAAAGCTGAAAAAAAAAACCAGCAAAGCCAAAAGCTAGAATGGCAATGTAAAGCATAACACATGAGTGCAGTGATGACACGCTGTTCTCTAAAAATGAACGAAAGTACCTCACATAGCTAAAAACAGTAGCAGTCGCCATCTTGAAGCCTTTTTGAATGTTTAGTCCATGTTTATAGATAGTGTGTCATACGGTGTCAGAAACCACATAAGCAAGTCTGTTTGAGATTACTAAACAACTCAACACAGTTTGAGGTGAGTGTGTGATCAGTTAGGCCTGCAGTTAGCAGGAATTAGCATGCTAAATAGCTTCCATAACCTGTTAGCTACATTAGCCCCAGTAGCTTCAGTGCTAAAACTGAAGAAGCATACTTCAGACAGTAACATCAACAGTAACAAAGGGGGAAATGGGGTAAATTTCATCGAGCTATAAGTTGCTTTTCACCTCTTCTCCTAGTTGGAGGTTTTCAGTTCCTCATGAAACTTTCCTCAACTCTATCCATCAGCCTCCACGACGTCCAGAGAGAGCAAACTTACAGTAATGGATTTCAGCACTCTCAGCACATGAATCAGCTCTTGGCAAGCTAACATTTCTGTGTGTGTGTGTGTGTGTGTGTGTGTGTGTGTGTGTGTTC